CCCGGACGCGGCCGCGGGATGCTCGTTGCGAGGCGTAACCCGCTGCGGTCTCTTTGGCGGTGACCGGGCGGCCATGTTGCAAGTGGGAAGGAAATGAATGGAGCACCGTTAGGAGCCCTGCCCTGGCTCCTCGGTGTCCTTGCTGTGACTAATCCTCCTGCTTCCCTGGCGGGGTGGAGCCGCCTTCAGCCGGGGAGCCAGGTGAGGCGAGGCTGGCCCCCGTCCTGGCTCTGAAAAGAGCTGGACCGTGCGACCCTCGCCGCGTTAGCCCTAGCGCGCCCCGTGGAGCGCCGCTTTCCTAGGTGGTCCTCGATGGGCACGGATGAGGGCTGGCGTTGAGGGGGGGGTCCTCGGGCCTTCCCCCCGCCCCCTTCCCGGAGAGGTGTGGCGGCTGTGGCTGGGTGCCATACTGGGGGAGCTGAGTCACGGGTAGTTAGCCAATTTCCACCACAAAATGGCTCCTGTTGCAGCAGCCCCTTTCTTCACGGGGCTCTCCTCAAAGCCCCTTGGGCCTTCCGCTCTCCGAGCTGATCCAGCCCTAAAGGCCAGTGTGTAAAGGTCACAGGGAGGATTGGGTGTCTGCAGCCTTGGGAATCCTGCCCTGCTCCCCATTCTGTCTCCTAGAAACCAGATCCCCCCACTCCACTCCCCATCTAGGGTTAAATATAGCTGCCTGACCTTTCTGTAATGGGGACCTGGCTTCTCCCTTCACTTCCTTCTCCCCCCACACACACATCTGTTGCTACCACTCCTGAGTTTCGGGAGAGAGCTGCAAGAGCAGGGAGCTCAGCAAAGTGACTCTGGGATAGCTGGCACACTGGCCTCCCCGTCTCCTCCCCGTGGGTAGAGGCACGGGGACAGGGTGGGCTGCCCCGCCAGCTAGCTGCGACCTTTACTCTTGCCCTTTGAGCTCGGTGATGCTGTGTACAGGCCTGCTCCCCAGAGGGTGCAGCCTCAGGCTGGGCCAGACGGGAATGGGCGTTCCCAGGGCACCAGCAGTGCTGGTGACAGATGCGGCGTGCCAGGCACGTGCCCGGCGGCGGCGGTGCCCGCCTGGCCATTTCTCCTTGGAGGACCTCAGGTGATGTGGGCGCTGGGCAGGTCTTTGAGCCCAGTCGCCCCTTGGGCAGGTTAGGAGCTGGCCTTCCATGGTGGTGCCCCAGAGCCAGGCGGGCCTGGCAGGGCCCCTTGAGGAAGCCTCGCTACACCTCTGGAGGCCTGTGATGGTTGGGAGTGTCGCCTCCCTCAGAAAGAGCCCCAAGTGCTCCCCTCCCGCCTCAGGCCTTCCACCCTTTGGTCTCCCTCAGATTTGGCCGCATCGGCCGCCTGGTCACCAGGGCCGCCTTCACCTCTGGCAAAGTGGACATTGTTGCCATCAACGACCCCTTCATTGACCTCAACTACATGGTGAGTGCTGCCCTGGCAGCCAATGGGGGGCAGGGCTGGCTGAGGCGGAGCCCCTGATGCCCTCCCGCCCCCCAGGTTTACATGTTCCAGTACGACTCCACCCACGGCAAGTTCAATGGCACAGTCAAGGCAGAGAACGGGAAGCTGATCATCAACGGGAAGTCCATCTCCATCTTCCAGGAGTGAGTGAAGAACAGAGCCATTTGCTTGTGGGGGGGTGTACTACATTGGGGTGACAGATCGCCTTGGGTACACAGTACCCCCCGTCCCTGAACCGATCCTGTCTCCCCTGCAGGCGAGATCCCGCCAACATCAAGTGGGGTGATGCTGGTGCCGAATATGTGGTGGAGTCCACTGGGGTCTTCACTACCATGGAGAAGGCCGGGGCTCACCTGAAGGGTGGGGCCAAGAGGGTGATCATCTCCGCCCCTTCTGCCGATGCCCCCATGTTTGTGATGGGCGTGAACCATGAGAAGTATGACAACTCCCTCAAGATTGTCAGCAACGCCTCCTGCACCACCAACTGCTTGGCCCCTCTGGCCAAGGTCATCAACGACAATTTTGGCATCGTGGAGGGTCTCATGGTACGAAGGC